CAAAATATAAATAGTTATTTAAAAGTTGTCTTGAAATATACTGAAGGTAATATTTGAAGTACTTAGAAATAAGTGTCTCATTATACAAGAACTAAAATAGTACATTGGCATTAACTGAATGAAATTAATGGCAGGTCATGAGTTCTATAACTCCTGAATGACTTTGTAAAGACTGATTTGTGGAGTTGTAAAATAATGAGATTCAGTTTATACAAATCGTGGTTTAGAAATCAGTGATTTGAACACAACAGTATCAGTATGCGTTTCTTTATCTACTGAAGACATTTCTTTACACATGTATGCTGGTTGTGGTGAATAACAGAAATTATGATACAACCAAAACATTGTTTCTGTAGTACATCAGCAACCTAAATTAGCATAACAAAATTTAAGATATTTTATTTTATTCTTCAGCTTTAGACACAAAGTTGGTATTTAGTTCTCTAATTGTCAAACCATTTATGTTAAAATTATTTGGGTTTCATTTAATTAAGATTGTTATTTGTTAATTTTCAGTCTTCTGGAATAAATCTGTTATATATTGCCTCATATTCTGGCCTTAGCAGGTTAGAAAGACTGGGAATTAAGACCACCTACCCAAGTATACATCATTTACTTAATGTGACACCCCATAAATTGTTTGTTCCATTAAATATCTATCAGTGCTTAAGTAGTAAATTCTGTTTAGGTTTAGATAACTTCTTTAGATTATTTCATACACAGTAGTGTGTGTATAAAAGCCTACCTCTGGATTTTATTGAAACCTTAATGGTTTGTTTTGTATTCTTTCTGAAAACATACTATGTAATTTGCTCAAGTATGTCCTATAGTGCTCAAAGACAGATCTCTTTGGATCTGAATTGTATGAAATGATATACTGCCTAAAGGTTCTTAGTTTACTTAAAATGTGTACAGGGCATTTGAAAACCCATTAAAGTTTAAAGTTGGAAGTTTTACAAAGTGTGATCAATTATTTTGAGAAATCATGTCTAACTTTACATGTACTGCTTTACTTCTGCTATGATTTTCTTGAAAACATATGGACTATAATTTTTTTTCAAAGGGCCTAACAGCTCATCTGATTAATTTTCCACTAGACTTAGGCAATTAGCTCAGAGGAAACTCCAGGTGAAGTTTAAAACTGTATTAAATTTTTTTTTTTTCCCCTCAAGGTGTTCTGTGTAACTGTAATACAAAATTTGCCTGAAATTCTCCATGATTGATGCTGTCTTGTGATATCTGAAACCCACTGAAGACAAAACTAGAATCTTAACTGTCTGAAGTGCCATAGGGAAACAAAGGAGTTACAGTACTGTGTATTTACCAATAAATAAGTCTGTCAATGTTTATAAAGTTTCTAAAAATGCTGGAATGGATTTATATGCTGTAAGCATGACCTAGTAATGTTTTACCCGGTATAATGAAGGACTCATAATTTATATTTAAAAAGAATAGTGTTTGTGTCAAAAAGTGAGAGACGTCTGTTAGTTGCATGTCTACAGTATGTTAGACTGAATCTTTAGTTAAATATTGTAATTTGTACATACACAGATGTATACTGTACATGTGTAAATTCAACAAAAGTGCTTATACAAAAATCTTTTCAAGTTTTAGGTCCTTGCAACTTTTACAAACTGTATGTCTGAGAAATAATGGTTATTATAGTTAAAGATTACAAATTAATCTTAGAAATCCTGTGGAATATCCCATGTATGTTTGTGGTGGAAGGTTTTCACAATGATACTTATTAAATTATTTTATCAGAATGAAGAAATATCCAATTTGAAATAAGTAAAATTTTATATAGGACTTCTGTGAGAAGACTGCTTCCTTTTGATTGACAATGAAAAAGAAAACACTTAAAAAAAGAAAAGTGCTCTTCAGCGGTAAACACTATATGAATTGAAAGAGCAAGAAGCGTCTGTTGTATCAACTTAAATGTTCCATCATATTTTTCCAAATACGCCTAATTGTTTTTGATAAAAATAGATTCTTAAAGTTAGGCTTCTCAGAATTGGGAAATTGTTACAGTGAAGTTAAATTGCATTGATACTGTGGGCTAAAATGAGAGACCTGAAAATAATTTCCTTTTAAGATATGCTGTACATAGGTTAAATTTCTTGAGTAGCTCCCAAAAAGATTGACAGCTGCATCATTTTAATGGTGATGAATGGTCCTCCGGTATATTTTGGAAAGAACTATACCTGTTAGAGATAGGGACACATTGAGTTGCATCTGAAGCAGGTTCTCTAAGTCCATTTGTCTCAAAACAGACAACATTTCACTGTAATAGTAAATAGAAATATGATGGAATGATACTTTTTATGCAGCAAAATAACAAGTGTTAAATAAATCTCCTTTGCAAAAGAAATGGGTTATTACTGTCTAAACTACTTTGAAAGAATTTGGAGTTTCAGAACAGCGTTCTTCCCCTCATGTCATTACAAATAATAAAAATTTTTGGAAATGTATTTCTTTCTTAAGAGATACTGGCTTCTCACCACCGGAGGAGGACTGCATCCTACTGGTTATCAGGAGACAGCGATGCCTGGCTGCTCTTTGAGGGCTGGAAGAGAAGGGGCAAACCCCAAAGTGCGGGGGAAGGGACCTTGCCAGGTGACCCCCATCCTACTGCCCCCAAGGGAAGCAAGTGGGGCAGGCACCGGCGGGGTAGTCTAGTCCAGCTCATCAGGCAGTTAAAGCCTATTAGTACACTCAGGGCCCTGACACTGGTTACTCTAAATAACAGTAGAATTTCTGCTCAATATCTATTAATTTGTATCTTGTTGTACTTATTTTTTACTTTTGAAACGTTTGTGTGTTTTTCCCCTTCATATGATAGTCTTATATTAGAGAAATTATTAGATTTTCATAAGAAGAAACCAATATTGACCATCAAACAATATTTGAAAACTAAATAATGAAGTGTTGCTTTTCCCCCATAAACCAAGACTGAAAAGAATAATTACGTTGTTTTGACAAGTGAACTGAAGAAGTATAGCATAGAAGTCTTACAGGAATACATACATGAAAACTAGGCTGTCATGTTTACAAGGTGATTTTTTTCATATGATGAATTTTTCAAACAGTAAGTGGTCTGTAAACTATACTGATATTTTTCTGAGGAACACAAGCTTATTTTGGCTATCCTGTAAGGGAGTTTGGAATAAATATAAAATTTTGATTGTGCAGCTATTTTATGAAAACTGAATCACTCCAAGCTGTTATTATTTTTGCATTACATGTATCTATTATACAGTACATTTTACACCAATCATTGCAAGCACAGATGAATAAAAGATGAGTTTGAGTTATAGGTATTGAATGGAGTTAGCATCACATTCTTTATAAACTCTGAGATATTTCTAAAGAGAAAAGGGAATGGATTTGTGTGACCATGTGTGAATGTAAGTAGTATCATACATGAGTGAACAACTGTATTTTCAGTATTCCTTTTATCTCAATTCTGTAAAGTGTTATTTAATGTTTTTCCATTGGTTGCAGAACCTTCCTAAGTTAGCCTACTGTTTTTTTGCCAGAGTAACTGACAAGTGTTTCAGCATTTGCGAGAGTGCATTTTAACTTCTACTTTTAATTACAGTGTCTTTAATTGCAGCAACATCTGTTAAGATACTTTGAGTCTTATATTCAAAGACTGATCTTCCCTCAATGTGATACATGATGTATTTGGTTTACATCCAGACTTTTTAACCAGAAGGGTGACTTGAGTTTCAGCTACATTCCAAAATACTGAAAGTCTTTGAATTGTTATTTGCAAAGGGGTATTCTTCTGAGAGTTCAAGAAAATGATATATCCATAAAATGTGTATGTCCTGGGTTGAGGTCACGTTTGTTCTAACTTTGTTTTGAAAGAACAAAACCAGAATCAGTAGTGTAATTTCTGCTGAAGAAATGTGCTATTCTGCTACTTGTACGTCTACACTCTCATTTGACCAAAAAATATCATCTTGACCTTGCATTTTAACCTGATGTTCTTTTGGAGCATATATCTTGTAGACTGTTCACTTAGAAAAAGTCTCAATCCATTTTCCTAGTAATGCCTTTAGGTAAATTACCAACCAACACTGTAATTGCTTCATAAAAGAATATTGCTTGTAAGAAAAATACTGTATTTATTAATTCATTATATTTTGTTGCCCAAACATTGTATGAATCTGAATAGTTATGTTTCTTCCTTGTGTTGCTACTGCAGTATGAATAGTATTATTAAATACTAAATAGTAGACATGAAATATACTGGTTATTAAGAAGTTTCCACTTTTTATATAATTTTTTCTTTAACTTCAGTAGCAAGCCATTACTGGTTGTAAAATCAAATTCATTATTTCTCCAAAAAGAGAATACAGGAAAAAAAAACCAAAACAGGAAAAAATAACTCTGCTAATGTTTTGCTTCTGATATAAAGACTCCCAGGATTTAGTGTCTTAGTTTGTGTAAGCCAGTGGATTTATCTGTGTTTTGGCAAAGTATTTGTTGAGTGAAATATGCACAAAGCAAGATGATACTTGTTTTCTGGTAGACTGTAGTGTTTTGGTCTGGATTTTTACATTCTAATTATTTGCAATAATGAGCTTAGTTTCCAGAAAGCTGTTACTCCTTGCACAGAAATTATAAGCACACAGAAAATGAATTTACTCTCTAATGTATTTATTTTTATAGTGTTCAGTTACAATAGTGAGAATTTTCTTTCTAAATCTAAAAAAAAGAAAGTCTACTACACTGATTAAAGTACAGGAACTGATTTTTTTAAAACAAAATTGAAGATATTATGAAATTTATCTACGTTTATTTTACACGTGTCCCTCTGTATCACTCAGAAGCATGAAGCAGGGTTACTATTCAACACAGTTTTATAATTCCCTACATAAATGCTTCTCTTATTAATCTAAGTATTTCCAAGGAACAAAATATTGTTTATTTTGGTACTTCTAGACTGATTTTTTTCATTATTTAACTACTTTTCTGTATCTGTTTTACAGATTCTGAAAATGGAATGGGGAGGAGAGTGTTCTCCTGATTCTTCTGATTTAGACTGTTTGTTGAATGTCCTTCCTGGGGAATTGGAGTTTCAAGAAATCCTTAGTGATCTTGATGAAAAAATAAAGAAGAACTCTTCTAGGTAAAGAGTATTTTATTTGTATCCAAAATATTAGTGAAAGTCATTACATTTAGGAAGAAATGTGGATTTTCTTTTTTTCCTTTTCTAGTTGTAGGTTAAAATTCTGATAATTATTTCAGTAGTAATTTTACCTTAACCACTTGAGCATTTAACAAATTCTTAATGCACTATAATTTTTGTGCTATAGTATTTCTCTGTATGGTATTTTTAACAGTTGAATCATCTTAATCTTAGGAATTATTGCAGTAGGTGTGATAGTGGAGGAAGAAAATGTGTATACCCATGACAGTTGTATTTCCTACAGCTATGAGATAGAATTTTTATTCACTAAAAGAGCTACAGAATTTTGCAAAAAAGCAAAATTTGCACTCAGTATTTTCATTAAGCATTTCTAATGGCAGTAGAAAAAGCAAGTAAGTTAATATATGTAACCTTTATTATATAAGCCATTATTTTACCTATTTCAGTTAAAATTATTATGCTGCAGTAGAAGATTTTCTAACTAGAACTTGTTTTGTAACATATTTCCTTGTCCACTTCTTTGTAACATACTGGTTTCCAAAAATCAATGCTATAGAAACGGTGGAGTACTGAAAGAGTTTTTTGTTGATATGGATAATTTGCATGACTGCAAAAAATCCAGCTCAAGGTTTTGTGCCTTATTTGAGAAGTGGTGACAGTGTTTTGTGGCTGAACTCTTTAGGACCTTTAAAATACCTTGATCTGTGGAAGATACTCTTAAGCAAATAAACTAATTGCCCCTTTAAAAAAATAAGTGTACCTTCAGAGATATAAGAAATAGCATAATTAGGGATTAAATTTTGAAAATGCTCACCTTTGGATAACAGTGCATGTTACAGAGTCTTATGATTTCAGAGAATGCCCTTCATGACATCTGTTTTAGGGTTGTGTAATTTTAATGTAGCCCACATTTGTGAGAGGTCTTTGTCTGCTCCCAAACAGCTTCTTGAAGAATGTAGATAAACCATTACTGTATCTCACTGAAAACTGATCGAGGTCATCTCTGAATTATATTGCTTATGCCAGGCTGAGAAATTTTTCAGGCTTTTTATTTATATTACTTTTATCTCACATTTTGAACACTTTCATTTAAAAACTTGGTGTTTATGTAGTTGTGATAGTAATAATCCCAAAGTAGCAATGGTAAAGATGATCTGGGAAATATGCTGTTGTGGACCCCTGCATAGTGCAATTTCATATTACAATTTTCCAGCTGTTGACATCAGTGAAATGTAGATACTTACTTGAAGTTCAATTGAACAGTTACAGATACTGAAGTTTTGAGTTGCTATGGTCTTGTATATCTGGGAAAAAACAGCATCAGCATTTTTGACAGATGTGTTGTCACCTCTTCAGCTACCAAATAAAAGTGGTTTTGTTGTCATTATCCAGAGCCAGCCTGAGAGTTAGAAAGATTATTACCAAGATGAGTGTTTGGAATGCATGCTTTGCTACTATTTTTGTTTTTAGTGTGTGCAAAATGTATGCTGCTGGTTGAGAAAACTTTTGGTTGTGGGAAAGCAGGCCAGCTGTTTGTTCCTTTCAGTGGTATTTTAAATCAGTTAACATTTTATGTTACATTTTATGTTAACATAATCACAGTGGAACTATTTGTACATGTTCAAGAAGGCTGATTGTCCCTGGTTTAGGTACATAGTTCCTCAAATTAGAAGAGCCTTTCACTGGACATTTTGTAAGATCCAAATGGTATTTTATCCAAAAAGAGCAGGAAATTGGGTTAGGGTGTGGTACACAGCAACGCATGTCAGGAAAAGCTTTATATTTCTGCTGAATTGACACTTAAGCTAGTTTTTAAACTAATTTTCACAAGGAAAATCGGAAAGTAGCCCTGTAGTTACCAGGTGATATTTTGCTCTTGTAATATGTCAGTTTCAGAAATGGAGAGGAGTTTAAAAGAAGATGGACAGCAGCTGATGTGACTTTTAAATTAAAAAGAGTCCTTTTATTGCTAATATATTAGAGGTAGCATGGAATGAAATCATTTTCAAGTTACCATTGATCTTTGTAAGTGGTATGATAAGAGCAGCTCTATGCGCTATGGTGATACAATTGGAATACAATCCATTTTTCATCAGATAGATTTATGATTTTATTATACCACAGAGAATAAACATAATAGTATACAGCATAGATATATTTTTAAAAATAAAACATTGTGTAAAAAATTATGATCCGAAAGTGTGTAAATCACTTGAATGCTCATTTATTGCCTTCCAACTGAATAGCTTTTATAAAATTGTGTGACACGACAAATCAGATATGCTTTCCAGCAGTTGAATTACCTTCAGTATTTTTGTATTGTACCAATTCTATTTGGTGCTATAACAAAAAAAAAAAAAAAAGCCCATCTGTGTGAAATCGTTTTATTTGTAAGTTTTAGGGCAGTAAGTGGTTCATTCATTCACTATTATATAACAGAGCTCTTATTACACTTGAATGTTGACTTTATTTTTACAGCAGTTTATCGAAGCAGGTGAATATGAACTCTCAAAACTATTGTCATTGCTGGCCAGTTTTATGTGCAGTGATAGTCTCAGGTTATTCTAAAGCATGAAGTTGTATTCATAATTTCATCAGAACGGCCATTTGTCTTCAGTCTTTCCCCTCACATTTGCTTTGACCTTACTGTTTATCAAAACCGAGTCTTTGTATTTTTTTCCCTAATTGAAGGATTAAGAATTAGTAAGAGTTAATTTTTGAACAATACACAGAGCTGAACTTTCAGCTGGTATTTAATACTCCTGAACAGAAATTAAGGTACAGAGCTTTAAACCTAGTTTATAGTGCGTAACTTGAAAGTGATTCTAAGCATGAAATCTCTTCAGCAGGTTGGTTTTTTTTTTTGTGTCTTCAGTTCTTTCTTCAGTGAGTGTTGACTCCCTTTTAGTGATGATAAAGTGATGATAGATTCTATGAGGCTGTAGGACAGTGTGAGGTATTCTAGATCATCTTCAACAGAGCAATTACTCTGAACTCAACAAAATAATTTACTAATAATTGCAATACACTGGAGACTGTATCTTTGTGAGGCATTTCACAAAGGCTTAATTTGACTTCAATTTGATAAACTTCAACCTCACCCTCTGTCTAATTAACAGTAATTCAGTCATCTGGGATTTTGGTGAAGGGCTTCAGTGAGGTCAATACTAATAAATGCTTATAGCGTTGCATCTTGTCCCATAACTGTTCAATGTAAATTGTAATCATTTGAGCAACTAACAAGATACTTAGCTTGCAAATAATAGGGCTATCAGGAAAGTACATCAATAAGGATGTTTGTATGACATTTTTCAGTTGTTGATCATAAATATGCTGATTTGCATGGAAATACTTCCGACTATAAATACCTGACATCAAAGGGGTGGAAGAGTTTCATACAGGGTGTTAAGCACTGCTGTCTTATTCCATTTTCCTGTGTCAGAATTGGAGTGTGCAAGGTGTCCTGTGTTTTTAAACTAAGATGTGCTGCAAGAGTTATCTATCTCTTTTATTTTGGAGAAAATCTTGGCTTATTCCTCTTTGGAATTTTCAGGAAGCAGCTACACCTCACTTTCCTGTTACTCAAGAGAATTTACAAAATCTTGACATCTTAATTCCAAAATCTCAGTAGTGGTCGAGTCTTTGGGAGAATGTCAAACTAGAGCTAATAGCAGAGAAATAAAATTGATAATATTATCAGTTTTTCTTGGGACCAATATTTGTCACAGCTCTTAAAAAGAATTTGACTTCTGTGTGAATGTAACCTGCTTGCTGTACAAGTGCATACTGTAGTATTTAGTTGAGAATTTAGTACCTACAAAGATATTAAAATAATGTTACTAAAATCTTTGTCAAAATAGTATCTTTCTACCCACTACCCTGGACTAATTGCCAGGAATAAGCAATTAAACTGAGACAGGAATGTTGTTTTATTCCTATTCAGCCTGTGCTGTCTTTGTGCGTGATCACTGAGTTCAGAATAGATCTTAAAACTTTACTAGCTAGACAGCAGTTTCTCAGAGATTGTCTATTTTAATAGTTACACAGTTTCTTTACTCCAATATATGGTGATTATAATTGTGTCAGTATCTTAGGTAGTTAGTTAGCTGTCCCATGCATCTACGGAAGCTGTAATCAGATTTTTGACTATACTCCAAATATCCCAGTTCATTTCATATGAGAATACATGAGACAATATTTTTTTTTAGCCATTGTTTGTCACTGTCATGTTTTAGTCAATGGAGTTGAAAGACTCCTGTGTTTCACTGCCAGTTTTTTGGAATAACTTATCAAGGCAAAGCCTACATCTTATGGACTGAAATATCTCAAGTCTTTAAAACAAATTGGAAATTAAAGGTGGGCATTGGTTCAGTTAGAACTGGCAGTTCTCATATGCTTAAGCTGTTGAGTTTCTCTTGCTGAGGTGTAGTAAAGTCATCACCATTCTATTTCTTTTTGGTTTCAATGGTATAGTTACTTTACAGTTTCAGTGGATATGTTTTGTAAGTAGCTAAATTAGAGATATGAAGTAGCTCGCAAAGCCCTTAAAGCAGGTGCTGCATCTTTGTTTTACATCTTAAGGTCCAAGAGCACGATAAGAAGAATTTGAGGAAGTGAATTTTTTTCAGGGCTTTTAGCTTTTTAATAACCTTGTAACTTTCAGACTCATATTTTAAAGAATTGATGGTTTTAAAAACAGGTATCAAGACATATTTGTCTTACCATTATTTTTCTAAAGATGTAAAGCTTTTGTAATCAGTCTTTCCATCAGTTTTGTATTGTTGCTTACAACATAATGTTTTAACTTCATTCTTATTGATCTTATTTTATTTTCAGTAGAGCTTAGATACAAAATACAAATAAGAGAATAATATAGTCAAACAATTAAAAAAATGTTGACATACAAATATGAGTTGATAACAAAACATATATTATTATTATTATTATTATTATTATTATTATTATTATTATTATTATTA